ATGAGAGACAAAAAGCGACTGAGATCTTTGAAGCAAAGAAAAACAAGTGAGCAGACACTCTGGAACTGAAACCTCTTCTCCCACACAAAGTGGTCATCATCCAGTATGGAACAAAAACATGTTGCAGTCTGATCTAATTAACTAAAGAGCAATATTTGCTCACCCGGAGGACAGCTAATGCAGCGCTGCCTTTATATGGACCGAGGCGAGAGCAAGGAACCAAAGAAAGAGTGCAGAGCTTTTAGTGTAAACACATTTTGTGCCCTTGAAAAAAACATTCTATAATGTGCTCAGACGGAAATGTATGGACATAATGCAATTGAGTCTTGGTGTGTATGTGTGTTGTTTCAAATGTATTTCTGATGCAAAAGGCTGTAATATATATATAAACTCCATCACCTTTTGCCTGTGTAACTGTGTAAATGCAGAACACAATGTACGCGCCGTCTGTGATGTGACACAAAGCCCATTGTGGTGACCTTCCCTTTTGATGTGCTCTCTTGTTCTCTTTCTCTCTCTATTACCCTGTTTTGTTGAGAGCTCTCCATTTAGCTCACATTTAAATTCAGAAAACACTCAGGAGCTTTTGTCTGATCCAGCTCATGTTGTGGAGGTGACAGCGCTGTCTTTGGCCAGACATATATATGTATGTTTGTGCGTGTGTAAGTGTGTAACTCCAGCTTACACTTTGACTCTACACTCAAATGCTTTAATAAGACTAGAACGAATAAAGGCCAGTGCTGACGTGGATGAGCTATTATGGGCCCCCTGCCACTTTGCTTTTTTCTGTCCATCTATCAGGGCTACTTGCTCTTTACGGACATGAAAATACATTCCCTGCCTATCCCTTCAAAAACCAGCATGGGAAGTAACGTACAGATATTAGAGTGTAGGTTATTTGTGTAGGTAGAGTATTTTTAGATGCAGAGGAGATTGGGTTTTTGAGGTGATCTGGATCTCTTGCACTCTGAAATACTATGAAGATGCAGACTTAAAGGGATAGTTCACCCAAAAATGAAAATTCTCTCACCCTTCACATACTGTTATGTATAGTTGCAAACCTGTATGACTATTTTAAAGATATTCTGAAGAATTTTGGTTACCAGTTTTAGGTTACCCCATTTCCACCACATAATAAAAAAAAATAAAACTTTAACGAACCATAAATATGACATACATTTAAATGATGAGATATTAAGTCATACTTATAAGATAAAAGTTGAAATTCTGACATGCATAAACGTAATTTTGATATAAAATGCTGAAATTAAGTAAACTTTTATGTCATAATAATGGCTTCTTATGTCAGAATTTACATTCTCATAATTTTGACTTTTTTTCTTATCATGACTTAATGTCATAGTTTAGATTTGTTTTTATCTCATAATTATGATTTACCAAAGCAAACATTTTTTGACTTCTTATAATTAACTTTTTATCTCAGAATATTGACTTTTTATCTTATCAAGACTTAGTTACAATTTTTGACATTTTATCTCATAATTATGACTTAGTATGCCATAATTGCAACGTTTTATCTCAAAATCATAATTTTATGTCTCAATTTTGACTTTTCATCTCATAATTACAATTTACCAAAGCATTTTTTGATGGACTTTCAAAACACTATTTTCTGTATGGAGATAAGAAAAACAATCTCAAAATGTTTCACAGAAGAAAGAAAGTGAAGAAATAACATTTTGGAATGATGGGTAATTACATGATGACAACTTTTTAATTTTTTTTTAGATGAACTATCCCTTTAACACAACTTTATGTAAGGTTATCGCAACAATCGAGAGCATAGGTTAATTCAGCGGTGCTCTTGATATTAACAACCTTACTGGAAGTGATTTACTGATTTAATGTGTATGTTTGCAATAATAGTGATATTAACTGACCATCTCAGCGAGCTCATATAGACGACAGACTGCTGTAGAGTATATATATATATATATATATATATATATATATATATATATATATATATATATATCTATGGTGTAGACAGCATCACTGATTA